TTTAGAGGCAAATGCTACCAGGAAGGCATCAGACATCTGAGGTGAAGAAGCAGAGGAAGAGGAAGGTGCTGGCAGTCATGGACATGGGACCTCACAGTGCAGTGCACAGCATAATCCTGGATCTGTGCACAGAGGGATATGGGCATACATGCTGTGTAATGCTACATTGCCCTGGTTTTCTCTGCTGTCCACACAAACTTGAGTCTGTACATGAGGTCTCAAAGCAATGTCTTATGCCAGAGGAAGAAGCTTTCACACATTATCTCCTTACCTATGTTGCTGTGGACCAAGCTGTGTGACCAGATTTAATTTTATAGGACTTATGCTGCTGGTAGGTGGCTTCCATAGGAAAATATTGCTGCTGATCCACAGCTGGATACTGGGATCCTTATTAAGATGATGAGTTAGCTGAAAAAAATGAGAAGGAGGGAGGGCAGATGCAATTAGAACAAGTTTGAGGCTGTGAAGAACTGGCAATGATGTGTTCTGTACCTGAAATCTGGAAATATTTAATATCAAGTCTGAGAGAAAAGGACAGTACCGGTATCTTCCCAGGAGGGGAAAAAAAAAAAAAAACAACAAGGTCACTTGCCTTTGCTGAGGGTTTTTTCCCTAACTTTGGATGTATTGAGCTGTGTAATAACTTGCACATATCTGGAAGCAATGCAGAGCACAGCAATCAATAATACAAGCCACGATAATCAGGTGTTTCAGCCATCTGACACAAGCAGTCTCCAAAGATAATTCTCTCCCACAGGACATTGCCGAACATAACTTCAGTTTATTCCTAGCAAAAAAATAAATGCTTACCTGCTGTGCAGAGACAAACCTTGCCAACCATTCTCTTTCTGAAAACTGGAAAGGGCTAGAGGTGCAGGGAAAACCAGTGGGGAACAACCACTGGAGCTGGTGGTGGCCACCAGAAAGCTGGAGCAATCTGTCACCCGTCACCAGTGTCCTTAAAATCCTTAGAAAAACCTCAGTAAACAGGGAATTTGTTCAGCAATGCCAGGACAGAGGAAAGCACAGAAGAGTTTGAGCTGCATTTCACCAAGGGACACAGTGAGTGTGTGTCACTGTCACCTTGGCTCTTGAGCAGGTTGAGCTGCAGCGTGAGCCCAGCCTGGTCTCATGAAGCTGCTCATGAATGAGACAGCCCTGGAACTTCCCCTGCCTCTGTGTGGCATCACTCCAGATCACTGCAGCCAGCACCAATCCCAGGTATTTACTGTAGAATTACAGAAAAGTTTTAGTTGGGAGGGACCTAAAAGTCCATTGTGTTCCACCCCTGCCATGGGCAGGAATGGCTTCCACCACCCCAGGTGGCTCCAAGCCCCATCCAACCTGGCAGGTGGCTCCAAGCCCCATCCAACCTGGCCTGGAACTCTTCCAGGGATGGAGCAGCCACAGCTTTTCTGAGCACCCTGAGCCAGGGCCTCACCATTTCCTCAGGAAAGAATTTGTTCCTTATACCCAATCTAAGCCTGCTCTCAGTTTTAAGCCTTTAGCACAGCAGTTACATGGCTCTGGTTAGGGTGGCTGGTTTTTTCTTATCCCAACAGCTGGATTTTACTGCTACCAGCCTTGCAATTAAAAAAAAAAAAAAAAAAAAAAAAAAAAAAAAAAAAAAAAAAAAAAAAAAAAAAAAAAAAAAAAAAAAGTAAAATTAAAGTAACCCAACTTGTTAAAAAGTAAAACAAACACGAGCTAGGCTTTAATTGCATTTGTGTACAATTTAATTGCCCTAATTGCACTTTTGTGGCCGCATTGCCAACCAAAAGGCAGAGAGAGGAGCTTTGGTGATCAGACACCATCAATGCTGAGCTCTTCCCCTTACAGTAATACCATCATTCATAATTGTCTGTAAAAATGAGATGCTTCTCAAGCTACTAAAATCCAAAATTCCTTCCTCATTCAGCATCAACAAAAAGACATTTATGTTATTCAGGATTGCTATCCCCTTTCAACCCAGAGCAGCCAGCAATAGCACATAAAGTTTTATGTCTGTCCAGTACAAGGCACTGCATAAAAAGAGAGAGGGCATAAGTGACATAATTGATGTGAAAGTTTTTGCCATGCCCTCCCAAAAAGCAGAAAACTTCACTGCAGGTGGTGGAGGAGGAACTCTGTGCCTCCTGGGAGCTCCCACAAACCAGGCTTGTGCCTGCACTATAAAGCCATTCACTCTGCCGAGGAGTCTATTAGTAAAAAGGAGAGAAACAATGATTTTCAGATGGCAGAGTATGAAATAATCAATACTACTCCTTATTCACAAGCAGAAGAGTGGCAGATAAGGATATATACCAGTCACAGACACAGTGTTTAATAAAACATCTTGGTCTTTGTCACTCTAGGCAGTTTTCTGCTACATTTTATAGGTCACAGTCCATGAAATTTCATAGGAACTTTCATATCTATTCTCTGTAGCAGAATATGACATTTATTTGTTATTAAACTATATAATTTAGGGAGGATGATGATACATTATCCAAAACAACATGTGAAGTAGTCTTTCCAACAATGATTTTTCTCTAATGTATCTGTATTTTGGGACCTCTACATAATCCTGTGAGCTTCTTTTTTTTTTTTTTTTTCCTAATGGGAAATAATAGAGGAATATCATTTTATAGTGATTGTATGATGACTGGCCAAGATATTTGTTAAACTCATGGTACAACCTTTGCTTGTTTTTTCACCTGTTGAGCCAGACTGTCACCACAAAATACTGTCAGCTTTAATCATGAGAAACATGAACAGTGGGGAGTTAATGGTGGTAAGTCAGTACTAAACACTGATACACTCCCAAACACTGGGAAGTCAAGAGAGGATTTGTGCTGGGCACAGCTTTTATTGCTTCTGACAGATGCAGGAGGAGGGAAAGATGAGTGGAGTGGAGTGGAGGTTGAGAAAGATCAAAGATTGAGAAGAAAGCATGGGGAAATGCCTCTTTCTCTCCGATCCAGTGGGTTCTGAGAGGGTACACCAGCTTTGATTAAGCAAATGTGTCCTTGATGCTTTAGTTGTAGTACATTGTCCCATAGGCCTGATACCTCTCTTGGGGTGTATAGGACCGGCTGGCTGTCAGCTAAACTTCCCTTATGTACATTTTTTTATATGTAAAAATCCTTTGGACCACACTTGGGAGACAAACGGTGAAGGAGAGAAAGAGAAGAGCAGAGTGGGATTCTGGATCTGTGTCATTACAACAGAACAGGGTTGTGAGTCATGAAAATTGCTGATTTGCCACAGCTTCAGTGGTGGCTTGAAAAGTCCCTTTTTATCCCTAGGTCCATGTTACTGGAAAAGTATTTCCCCATTTCAATTGGGAGGGAACAGCACTGCATGTCCATGGAGCTGGTCATTCTTGCAGCTGGCTGGGGCACAGAGCAGCTTGCCTGACCTGCAACTTTTCTTAATAAAACCAGAGAAGACACTGCTATGTGAAAGCCCTCAGGGCTTGTAACCTTACTGAGATAATCTGTTTTGGGGGGAAAAAAAACTGTAGAGATTTTTTTTTTTTAGCAGCCCAAACCATGTGAGGGTCTGTAGATAGCTGTAATAATTCCTGCTCGCTCAAATCGCACAGCACACTGCTATCAAAATTTAATCTGGGCTTTTTGGTGCATAATCATATTTCACTCATTTCCCTCCATACTTCTGCTTGAGATAAATGAACCCCTTCTGTGCCACCACCAACCCAGAATTCATAGGCCAATATTTTAAACCTAGGGCCAACAAATGTGGGGAGTGGCATTTTATGACCCATCTCAGTAACATTTCCAGCATCTGTCTCTGAAATTCGCTTACAGCCTTGAGTTCAGAATGAGATGACAGCAGCCACTTTATCAACCAGCATCACCTTTGTTCATGAGACACCAGGATCTGGCAAGAACAATCTTAACTTGGCAGGGAACTACCTGGGAATGGCACTTCTTGGAACGGGAGAACCTCTGGCAGGTGACCAGTGCTGCTGCTGAGCCGTGGGATGTCTCTGATTTCATCCCTCCACATTCAGGCCTTTGGCAGCACTTCATGGAAATCTGTCTGGGCTAGATCTCCACTCCCTTGGAGAGACACTGATTCCTCATCTGGGGCTGGAGGTGCTCTCGCAGTGGGAGGAAGAGGATGTAGACAGATGGAGTTTCAATTTTGCATCTGGATTGGAAAGCATGCTAGATGTATATCCAAATACATGTAGTTTTCCTGGATTTTCCTGGTCTTCTCTTGATCTTTAATGCCTCTACCCAAGTGCATTCCCCTTTCCTATAAAATCCCCAAAACAGCTGTTAGTTAGTCATGGAGGTGCTTGTTTTACTTCCAATCATGGTGATTTCAGTCAATTTTTTGCTTCAAACCATCTTTTTTCTCAGAACAAAACAGTTTACCTCAATCCTTGCAAACTTTGACAATCACCCTTACATTTGATGTGGTTTTGATTATAGATGCACCTGTGCAATTCCCTACCCACACCATTTCTTACACACCCTTTCTAAGCAATTATAGCCTAAGTGCAGCTAAATCACTCATCTTAATAAAAGTTAGAACTTTCATGTGTCAGAGGTGGAATATATTTTGGTACAGTTCTCCTCTGTGTGAGTGTATCTGTACAGATACTAATCACACATTCTTTACAGGGATTTGCTATGAATGAGCAGGTATATTATTATATTATAAAGGCAGGCAGTGAATATTACAGTGAATAGTTTCCTGTTAACACAGAGCATCACTGCCTCTGTGTGAGTGGAGAATGACTTAGCTTAAAGGAACATCTTTCATCTGTGTAAATGGTTTACTGGGGGCCATTGCAGGTAGTTCTAAATAGAATTTTTTTTTTTTTCTTCCACATAAACTGAGCTACAAGGATAACACAAGTAATTGCATTCTCTAGTGCCTCACAGTGCTGTCCATGTTATCTTCAATGGGAAAAAATCGGCTATTGGCAGCCTGGTGAACTTAGTAATTGTAACTAATAGGATTGTTTGTTTTTGCCTGTCTTTCAGGATGGAATGGGGAACCTGAGGATCACAGAAAAGGGTCTGAAGCTTGAAGGAGATTCAGAATTCTTGAAACCTCTCTACGCCAAAGAAATCCGATCAAGACCAGTAAGTTTTTGGGAAAGGAATAAGCTTGTTTCTGTAGCCCTTACAGAAAGGAACCATGAAGTGGCAGGGTGATGTGGCTACTGGATAAATTACTTTGGCCATTGGCCTCTCTTCACAAGTGCAGTTTGAGGAGTGAGGCTTTGAGGGCTTTGTCCAAACACTGCATCCTCTGGCCAAAGTGGATAGCCATGGCTCTGGTTTGTGTAAGCCACAGTTAAAACTCTTGCAGGACCTCTGAAGTTTCTGTCTTTGCTTTTGAGGTAAATCGTAAACCACCCTCAGCTGGAGGAGCTGTTATTTCTGAGGCAGAGGGATGGCTGGCAGTTCTCACTTTTAACCAGTTACAGCTTATCTGGATAGCAGAGAGGTGGTGCCTTGGCACAAGGGCCTGATCTGTTGTTCATTAGCACAAGGAATATTATGTCCTCAATACTATTTCATGTTGGTTTAAAAATATGTATAGTTAAAATTCAATGCTGCTAAGGGTGACTGCATGACAAAAGGGGCAAGCATGTTAACTACTGGAAATAAAGAAGAACCCCAGTGTGATTGAAATAGCATTTTCATTGCAGCACTTTGTTAGCTGTTGGTGACTTTTGGTCTTTCTAATGCAATTCTGTATGTCCTGAGCAGCTTTAAAATAACTGAAACAATTACAGAGTTTCCACGATCTGTGTCAGAAGATATCATCTGTCTTGTTTCCTGATCTAAAGTGTTAATTTGAGTAAGATACCAACCTTCCCTTTTGATAACAATGGCAGATAGCTACTTAAATAAACTTAACATCCTTTTATCTCAGCATTTCAGTGTTCTTGTAGAAATTGGAACTTGGAGCATAATGAACAAAACAGCCAGTACCATAACCCATTTAATTATTGAAGGTTGTAACCTCTGTAAGATGGCTAGGAATTCATTTGAACAAGCATAATCATTCAGGAGGAAAACTTAATAAGAAAACCTTCATATCTATAAATGCTTTCAGCCCTGAATTAAAACAGAACCTGTAAAACCTTACATGTCATTCACCTTTTAATATAAAATATGTGAGAACCAGGTGCAGCAGTTGGTTTGATAAATAGACTGACAAATCACTACCTACATTTCTTTTTCTCTAGTTACATTGATGGAAATAATATTGGATTGCTAAGAGAAGTGAGAACTACTTCTTGCTACTGGGGAGTTTACTGTTTTCATGTTATCATATTGATCTACATTTTAATACATCAGGGGGTGCAAAAGGTGTCCCTTTCCTGGGGCTGTGGAAGTAATTTCCACACACCATTGACAGATTACTGAGTGCAAGGAACAAGAAGTGTAAGGTAAGGCTTCTGTGTGTTCCTGGCTTTATCTTCCATCCAGGATTATTTTTGCTGTAGCTTCCAGCCAGAAGCTCTGATCTGCAGTCTGGGGAGCTGGAGCACCCCTGCTGCCATCAGTAGATGAGTCCTGGAAATTGTGTTAACCACACAGTTACACAGACCATGCACACTGTTCCTCTGACTTTGGGAATCAACTGGAATAACCCGTGCTGGCTTTTGGGTTGCTTATAGTAACCCTGGAATCATTTTTGTGCAGGGGGCAACAGCAGAGATCTTAGTGCATTCAGACAACTTCTGCTCTCCTGTGCTGTGTGTGAATTTGGCCTCTTGAAAGCAAATGAAAGGATTCAGTCAACCAAAGGTTGATAGTTACAGAATATTTGAAAATATTGTTAAATAATCAACACTCAGTCTTTTTAAATAACAGTGGTATGATCCAAGTTGTCTTGAAGGGAAGCGTGATAGCAGTTCCTGAACCTGATGAATATTGTTAAAATGAAGTGCCAAACTCAGAGCTCAGTAACAGATGAACATCCTTACTAATTCTGGAGTGAACTTCCCTGGGTTTTCAGAAGTGCATAATGAAGCTTTAAATATGAGAAGAGTAACAGAAACAAATATGACAAATAACATAGTACAGAGCATCCGGGAAATAATCTAGGATATACAATTTTTCGTATGTTTAATTAAACAACCTAAGAGTTGTGTACAGTAATAAATATTGGTTTCATATAAACTCCAAAGATTTTAAGATGCTGGTTATTTATACAATAATTTAATCTTTTTTATAAACTCAACAAATTTAACTTTAGTGTTGTTCTGCGTAGTGGGTGAAGGAACATTGCTGCTGCCTGGAAAGGACAGGGAAAATCACTTTTCCTGTAAGTGGCTGCAGTCCCATGAGCTCTGTGCCCTGGGTTTGCCCACTCTGTGTCTCTGTGGTGCTGCTCCCCCATGTGCTGCAGGGCTGCACACAGAGCTGGGAAACCCCTGCCAAAATATCTTCAAAATGGGAATTGTGATCATTCTTGAAAGCCTGAATTTCTCACTGGTGCCTCTTCTTCTCTGCTGCAGCTCTTGAATCCCAGGAAGTTGGTAATTAAAATTACACACAGGCTTGCTTTCCTAGGAGCTCTGCCTTCTGTTTTAATGATAATTTTGGATTTCCACTTAAAAGTGGATTTATTTTTCAAACTGATTTGGCTGGAAGGGAAGATCAAGGGTTAGAGAGGAGGAAAAGCCCTCCAATGTCATCCCTAAAGAATGCTGGGTGGGCACCTCTGAACTTCTGTAGAGCTTAAAGAGCCCTACTAGGTCCTGCGCCCTTCATCACCTTAACAGACAGAGGAGCTGCACTGAGATGTGCTTCTCACTCCAACTGAAATTCCAAATTTTAGCAGGATTCGATGGATATGATTTGGCACCAGGCAGAGAAATCACTGACATGAACTGACTTCTTAAACTTGCTTCCAGCCAGTTTCTTTCTTAGTCCTACACCCCCAAGATTTGCTTTCTTTTTCCCTCACCCACTCAAGAATGACCCCCCAAATCTTTTCTGCTTTTATACAGAGAAGAGGGTCTCTGTCACTGCTGTTTTTCATCCTAGTCCTGATTCAGTAGTACTGGATTTGTAGTATGGATTTAAAACCTGCTTTCAAGCACCAGAGCTTGCANAAAAAAAAAAAAAAAAAAAAAAAAAAAAAAAAAAAAAAAAAAAAAAAAAAAAAAAAAAAAAAAAAAAAAAAAAAAAAAAAAAAAGGCAACCTTGCCATTTTACAAGCCTAAAGTTAATCTGGAGGTTAACAAGTGGGTGGTAGCAGTGTTTGCATCCTTGTAGCCTTCTTTTAAAGAAAGGAGATAGATGTGTTCCCTTTTCCCTGAGTGTTCAGAGCATCCTGAACTCCCAGCTGAACATATTGCACACTGAGCAGTGTTTTTTCCTTGCATGGAACATGAGCATCTTGCTGCCTTTAATTAAGAAGATAGCTGGACCATGAAGTATTGCCTGTGTAAATAAAAGTGATTTGTACTTAGTCAAGGAGCTACATTAGGAATTCTCACATTTCTTTACTTGCAGATAAATTATGAAGATTATTAAAAATTGGAAGGGTCATCCATAAACCCATCTGTAGCTCAGCTGTACTGTCACTCTCAAAGTGTAGCTGTCTTTCTAACTGTTGTAATTTATTGTGGACTATCGTGTGAACCATCTGCTTGCTTATAAATCAGACCAACTTTGACTGAAAGTTGTACACAGCAGTAGAAATCGTTAATTTTATGTCCTGGAAAGTAGTGGCAACAGTTTAGGGGACTTCAGTCTTCATTGCCTTAATTGGAATAGAAATTTAAAACTGGAAATTTTCCTGCCTGTGTTGAGATGAGCTGCTAAGAACCAAGTTGCTTGCAATTTAGAGTTAGCCCAGATTTAGCTTTCTTAGTGCAGTTGGGGTGTTTTGAAGCCTGGTACATCCAGGTCTGTGAGGAACTTGAAAGGGGCAAGACACAGAAGAAGCTGTGTGCATTTTCCATCCAGATAACAACAGAAATAAAATCCTGTGCTGTGATTGCACAGGAAAATCCAGTGAATTACTTCTCTTGGGAGCTGTCTGACAACCAATAAGATGATAATCTCAGTTTCAGGAAGCAGAGAAAAACATTGCCATGATAGGATTAGGATGGGTTTGCCCTTTCAATGTTCCTTCCAAGTGCATAGATAGGGAAAAAAAAAATAAACTCAGTTTGCAAATGTTTACACCTGGACTTTATTTTTCTTACAGGGAAGACTTTTAAAGACAAGAATATGGATTTGCCTGTGAACTTTGACTTTGCTTCAGCAAAAAGCACTTGACCTCCCTTAAGCTATATTTCAGACTCCTATTGATGGGTATCAGAACACAGAATTAAATGTGGGCACCAAACTTTCTACCTGGGGGTAGAAAGCTCTGCTGTTACACAGATACAAGGGATGGCAAAATTCTCTGAACAGATTTTGAGGAGATTACCAAGTGTCTTTATCAAGAGATCTTCATGTAGGTAGCTGGTTTCATGCTGAAGGTCTGCTTCTGGTTATTTTTAATCAGCTAAAAAAAAAGAGTTTAAAAGAAAAACCCGATACACCAAAGGAAAAAAGAGGCAAATGACTGTGTCTTTTTGTTACATTCCTTTTCTGGGGGATGTTAGAGGTCCCTGTCCTACTCAATGTGTCAGGGAGTGTCTCTCTGAGAGCACTGTGCTTGCTCAGGTTGTTGGAGCAAACCTGCCCTCATCTGAAGATATGCAAAAAAAACTGGTGACTCCAGTGGAAGGAGGGCTGGGGCTCTCACTAACACTTGGCTGGGATTCTGTTTGGCCTGAAAAATTCAGAGTTGTGAATTGGGGCTGATAACTGCAATTCCTTTTACTGGTGTTTAGTGAGTTCTTAACAGAATAAAAGCTAGACCAGCGAGTACCTAAAATATGTTTCTCTGTTCTTTGCATTCTCCCCAGCCAGTATTTGAATGATAGAAATTTTAAAGGAAGCTTTTAAGAATGATAAATAATTATTTTGCCAATGTACTCGTCTCACTATGTTCAGTTCTGGAATAAGAGTGCTATAATTTAAAAGCACAGAAGCACTTCTGTAATGGCTGTGTTCTTTGGTGTTATTTGCTCTGCAGGTCTGCCTGCCTCCAAGCTAAAAAT